CTGGCTGTAAAACATTCAGAAATATTCAGTATCACCTGTTTTTAGTCATCTTATTTATGAATATACAATATGCGCGCGCGCGCGTGTGTGTGTGTGTGTGCGTGTGCGTGCGTGTATCATCGTTACAGAATTGATTCTCTTCTGCAAAAATTTGTGACCAAATCAATTTATATAATTTGGCAAAATATATGCATCATTATTTTAAAAATATCTATCAACATAATAAGAGAAAGACAATAACATTAGTTTTAACGTAGGGTTATTTCCTACAAAAAAAATTTTGGTTTATACAATATTATTCATTCAGTAGCGACTTTGAAAGTATATTATTAAAAAAAAAAAATATTTTCAGAAACATTGCACTTACCATATCGTCAGGTCCTTCGCAGCTATGCCTGTACTCCAAACCTTCAGGAACTATTTTGTTAAGCATCATTTCCATATCGTCTCTCACATCTGGATCCCAGCTCTCGTTTAATGCTAAACTAGCTGAAGTATGTAGAACTATAGGAAAAAAAAACGAATTTAATATTTATTGTTTACTACAGAGAAATATTCATTCCTTTTCATAATATATGTACTATATAGATCGCAATAAACGTGAAGATTGAAATTAAAACTCAATCTGTTAATCTATGAAAGCAAGACTTTACAGATCAGATAGTCAAGTACTCACTTTGAATATGGCAGAGACCAATGGAAAATTGGCAGAGCTCAGGTACCTGCCTGAGAATTTCTTCAGTGACTAGATGAACGCCCCGGTGCTGTGGTCTAAGATTAATTTTGGTCTGGAACCAACCGGATCCGATCTGAATGCCACGATTGGAGGAGGCCATGGCTGCACGAAGGTGAATGGTGCGAAGGCAAGTAGAAAGGGAAGGAAAAGATTCAACGGCTCTTCTTCGATGTACGCTAACCGTCGATGAAACAGCGCCGATGAGTTACTCCAAGTTACTCCAAGTTACTCCAAATGGCCGATGCGGAATCCTATTTAGCGATGATTTAGAATAATTCGTCGCGTGCGCCACGACCTAATCCGCCGAACATTCGAGCCGCAAAAGAAGAATAGGTTAGGTTAGGTTAGGGATAAGAAAGAAAGAGATATAGAGAAGAGATGGGCGGAGAGAGCGAAAGAAGGGAGAAGAGTAAGATAAAAGGGAGGGGTAACGATTCGGGCGCTCAACGCACTGCGCGCACAAGCACGCGCGTCACGGATACGCATACAGCGCAAGCGATACCGACGATACGCACGCACTGTACTCCACACAGGGCACTGCAGAGCACGCAAAGCATGAGGCCAAATTGGTTACTGGACTGGGCCGAGTCGAACGCATGCACGCAAGCACGCGCATACATGCACATACACACACGCCTTATCAGCTTATCACCAGTGTCACCACTGTCACCACTCACCTACACGCAGCGTTTGACAGACGGTTAACGGACGGCGGGTTCTGACGACTTGTGACGACTGCAACATCGCGAGGCTGCGTCAACAGATGAGGCTCGTGAGGGGCGGACGGCGTACGGCGTGGAACGGCAACCGCATGAAACCGCATGTGCCGTACCTGCCGTGCGCTGCAGGCCCTTAACGAGCGATGGCGAGCAATTGCAAATGGCGGCGGACATTGGCGGACGTATACATATGTATGTATGTACGTACGTACGTACGTACGTATGTATGTATGTATGTATGTATGTATGTATGTATGTATGTATGTATGTATGTATGTATGTATGTATGGCACCGACGAGATACTATTAAGGGGTCATATACGTTTTTCAACTACAAAAAATTGATTTTTTTGTTCTTATTTTAAAAGGTACATATTTTAGAAACATTTTAAGACCAGAGCGAACCCGATATTCAAACTATTGACGAAGTTACAGTTACTTTAACGAAATTAGTCAAACCCTTGATGGAAGAGATAACATGGTGTGTGTAGATGGACGGTGTCTCTTTCTAATAGCCGCAGTACTTACATAACGCATAATGCATAAGGGAATTAACCAATCGAAAAGCGGGGAACACAGACTCTTGTATAACGCATAAAACGCATAAGAAAATCAACCAATTAGAGTCCTTTATTTCCTTTCTTTCCGTGAAATAAATTATTGTTGATTTTCTTATGCTTCATGTTTTATGCATTATGCAAAAGTGTGCGCTCCGCTTAATTCTTCTTTTCCGTGAAATGGGAGGAAAGGAAAAATTCTGATTAGTTGATTCCCTTATGCACTATGCATTATGCGTTATGCAAGAATCTGTGCTACGGCCATAAATCTCTGCCGTCTCTGTCTCTATGGATGTCGCGTGGAGACAATGGCTACCAACTGTGAAACGCGAAACATATTTCGTGTCGAGAAGTTGGCATACTCAATCTTTTCTTGTCTGACATATTATGGCAGCTTTCCAACAAGAGACACAAGTTGACACAAGAGTCATTCTGTCCTTGTTCAATAATCAGAAACAAAGACGGAATGACCTTGTATTAATTTGTGCCTCTGCTGGAAAGCTCCCTTTATAATGCAACTTAGTTTCTCTATCTAAACATTTAACAAATTGAAGGACTTTTCCTATACAAAATAAATAACAATAAATAAAAGGCAAAGTAAGAGTCAACACATTTCTTTAAAAAAAGTCATACAATCAAAAGAATAAATTACAAAGAAAAATAAAATTAAAGAAAATATATAATAAAAAATAAAAA